TTGTTTTTAGTGAGGGAAGGGAGGGAGAGAGAAACATCAATGTGCGGTTGCTGGGGGCCGTGGCCTGCAACCCAGGCATGTGCCCTGACTGGGAATCGAACCTGCGACGCTTTGGTTCGCAGCACCCGCTCCATCCACGGAGCTACGCCAGCCAGGACCTTGTTTCTTCAAGTGTAATGTCCTAGTCATGGTGACTGTCCAACAGTTACGTGAGATGTCAACATTGGGGAAGTGGAGTGAGGGGCACATGGGAACTCCTCTCTTTTTGCAACTTTTCTGTGAGTCTGAAATTAGTTCGAAACAAACATTTTATTTAAGAAAAACTTTTTAGAAGTAGGCAGTGGTAGAGAAGGCGGCTGCTGTGTTCCTCTGGCCTCTCCTGTGTCCTGCTTCAGAACACAGACCGCAGGACAGCGAGGAGCTGCTCCCCGGCACCTGGCGCGGTGCGGTCTTGTCCCTCCGCCGTCCAGACGCCTTTCTCTCCCGGTTGCAGTGTTTGGCACGGAGCCGGACATGATCCGGGATGGGTCGACCATACCAGTTGCCCGGATATTCCAGGACGCTCTCCAGAAGAGGGTGCTGATGCTGCCGCTGGGCGCCGTGGACGACGGCGAGCACTCGCAGAACGAGAAGATCAACAGGTGGGGTCCCCATGGGGCCGAGACCCCGCTGCCCACCCCCAGGGCCCCCCCGGGAGAGCCTGGGGCGTGCCCCGTACTTCAGATTACACCTACACCCTCAGATCTTCCCGTTTCCGTTGTAGACTGGTTGTCCTCCACCATCGGAATGGAAATGACCGTGTTTCTCTTTACTCCTTTCGTTAGGCGGAACTACATAGAGGGATCCAAACTATTTGCTGCCTTTTTCCTGGAGATGGCTCAGCTGCACGGACAGTGACAGGACTGTCCAGCTTAGCTCTGACCGACGGTTGGCCAGATCCCCCCTCCCACGACCCGGACAGGAGTGGAATAGAAATGCCCAGAACATTTTGGACCAGTAGATAATGTTTCCCCTCCCATCTAAAATGTCTCTGGGTGTTCGGACCAATGCTGTAAAACCTTAAAGGCACAGACACTGGGAATGGTTTAATGTCCGCGTTGTGGGTCCTTCCACAGTCACAGCTGCCTGCACGAACTTGACCTCCCGAGTTCAGCCGCAGCGGCCCAGGACGGACTCTGTCTGCCCTTCCAGCTCCGGGGCGGTCTTTTGACTGGACTCTCCCCTCCCAATGGCTGGCCCGGTCACCGCGGCTTGTGTTCTGGGCCAGCAGGACGCACAGCGCATGGTCACTCCATCCAGGGGCGGTCAGTGGTCAGTGCTCGCCCCAGCCTTGCGTGTGCCACCCCCTCCTTTCACCTTGAACGTGAAAACGCTGGCCCCCACCGCTGGCCACCATCACTTCCCTGTGGGGGCGCTTTTAGAGGAGCCACTGGAGCCTGAGACCATCTTCGCCTCTTGCTTCCCCTTCGTTCAGTTTTTCCTGTTCCAGAAAGTTCTGAACCAGAAATGATCGATATCCACCATATCCTCAGACCGCTTGGCATTCCTTGGGTGAAGATGAGCATATTTTACCCGAAGCCTCTTTACCTTAGTTGGGATGGATGCCGCCCGACCACCCCACCCCTCCCGGTTTCTGTTCTTCCTTCCTCTCCACCCGTGAAGGCCCGCGCTCGCTTGCTTGATCTCCCACCCCCCACCCCCAAGGTCTGTGCAGGGGTGAGTCCCCCACAGCAGAGGCAACCCCGGGAGAAGTTCGCTCAGCCCGCCCGCCGGCATCTGACTCTCTGGCTTCATCTCCGTTGCCCAAAGCTTTTAACAGCACCCAAGTGAGGCAGACCTAATCAACCCCGACGCCAGCGGCACGGTCTCTATTTACAGCCATCAGCTGGCGAGCGCTCATTCATCACTGCAGCTCACCGTCTGGTTGGGCTTGATTGGCTTTGACGGTGTAAACACACACACAAACAGGAACGTAATTTTCCTAAGGCTGAGTGTATGTAAACAAATCAATTCAGCCTCTGTGACTTCGTTATCTAAATCACATTAATGGGAAGGAATTGAAGGGTTTATTAAAAATGTTTCTCTGGTGATTCCCAATAACAACAAAGCGTGACTCGTCCCTGGGTTACCTGCTCGGCCCTCACCTGTTGATCTTCTGTCAGCTCACCCCGACTCCACTCCCGGAGAGGGCCCCCCCCCCCGCCCCGCAAACCCCAGCCTGGTGGGCACGCACGGAGGCCCACTTCTCCGACGGGAGCACCCAGTCCTGGTGGCTGAGCATGGGCAGGTGTGTGACGTTCTTTGCTATTGAGCTTGCTCGTGCGCGGCGGACTGCACTGGATCGTGTGACGTTCTGGATTCCCTGGGACCCACCTGACGCACTCGGCAGAGTTCCCAGGACCTACCTGTGCCGGGGCTCTGTGATGCGAATGCGTGTTTTTAACAGGGCGTTCAGGTAAGTCAGGGAGCGGAGGCCGGTTGTAAAGTACATCGCGACCCCTCCTGAGCCAGGCGCTGGCTAGTGTGAGGTCCCAGTCGCTGGGACGACCCAGCGACTCGTCGCTGGCCGGGGCGACGTCCTCCTGGACCTTCGCTCCCGCTGGCCCGAGGCCCGCAGTGTCTTGGTTATTTATTCAGACCGATCAGGTCATCGGACCTAGCAGCTTCCAGCCCAGGGGATGCCCGAGAGGGCCCGGAGCCCGTGCTTTCTGCCTCCCCGTCGCCAGCTCTCTTGGGTCGCCCTGGGTTACCTGCTCGGCCTCCAGCCCTGGAGCTGCCGGGGTCGTGATGCACCGGAACACAGGTGCCTTCCAGGCAGGTCTGCTCAGAGAGGTGGGAGAAACCTACCCAGTCTCCGGCCAGGGGACCAACTGATCAGTTGCGAGAAGGTGGAGAGGTTGAGGAGAGAGGAATGTAAACAATTGCTTTAAGAGTTTTATAGAAGAAACGCATGCACATGGATAAAAACGACCGCCCCGTGTGCCTGGGCGTGCACGCGTGGGGACAGCCCGGTCGGAGGGAGCTGCAGTGTGTGTGTGTGGGGGCACGCGTCCGGCTCAGGGGTTAGGACGCTCAGCTGGATTTGGTGACGCCCTCACGGGAAGCATGGAGGGCCCGGGTGTCTTGGCTTCATGCTCTCTTCATAAAACGAAGCGTGCTGGCCGGGAACCCCGGGAGGGGGGTGTGCACGGGGGTGCAGGCCTGTCCGGGACACGTGCCGTCTGCACGGGCAGCCTGAGGGGGACCGGGGACGCGCAGAGGGCCTGCTCCTCCAGCCTCTCCTCACTCCACAGCTCGTTCTGGTGCACACCGGCCCCCGGCCTTTCTGTCCGCCAGAGGCCGCGTCGCCCAGCCAGCCCCCCTTGGGAGAACCAGCCCCCAGTCCTTCTAGTATTTCATGTTTAAAGCTCGGTTCTTCCCAAACAGAAACTTTCCTCCATCCTCCCAAACCTGTCCCCGCGCCCCCTGCCCCCCTGCCCCCCTGCCCCCCCAGGGGTTCCTTGACCTGGTAAACGGACCTTTGGAATTCTGGGACACTTTCCTCTTTCAAATCCATTTCAATATCAAGACCCGCCGCCTCCATTGCTCAAAAGCCACCACGTCCTTCCGTTCCGTCACCTCCCAGAGCCTGCAGGTCCAATCCTCGCCCTTTCGGTGGGTCCTTGCAAAAGCCCCGGCCTAACCTCTCCGCCTACCCGGCAGACCCCTCCGGAGTCCCGTGGCCCTGCAGGCAGCCCGCGTGCCCCTCCCGCCTGCCCGCCACCCTGGGGCGGCCTGCTGGTCACAGCGCGAGGTCCCTGTCACGAGTGTCCGAGGAACGGCCCACGCTGCTCTCCGCTTTCTCCCCTGGCCTCCCCCGGCCTTGCTCCTCACAGCCTGGCAGCCCCACCCTTCCAGTCCGCGGGTCTCTCAAACCCAAGGCTGGTCTGTCCCGGGGGCGGGGCCTTCTGTCCCTCCCGGCGCGGCGCGGCCCGGCCCCGCCCCACCAGCCTGGGCTCCACGTGGCTCCCCGGATCACCGCTCAGTTGTGCGTCCTCGGAGAAGCCTTTCCAGTTCCCTGGAGCGGGTCAGGTGTCCCTGCTCGCCTTCGGTCTCCGAGGTTCTGTCGTGCCATTTATTATAATAGCTTTTTTTTATAATCCTCACCCCAGGACATGTTTCTTGATTTTTAAAGACAGCGAGAGGGAGAGAGAGACATTGCTGTGAGAGAGAAACATTGATCAGTCCCCTCCCCAGTGTGCCCCGCCCAGGGATCCACCTGCAAGGTAGGCTTGTGCCCTGCCCGGGGTTTGAACCTGCGACCTTTTTGGTGTACAGGGACGACGCTCCCACCACCTGAGCCATCGGGCCAGGACAATGATATACCATTTTAAGTATCAAGTTTTAAATGTACTCAATGTCATCTAACTATTATTTTTAATGCTATTTTTTATGCATTTGAATACTAACTGTACATATGGTAGCAAAAAAAAATATTAAATAAGGACCTGAAATCCTGATTATACCAGATGGAACGAGGTGTGTGTTTGTGGGGTCGTGCGCGTGCGGTGAGAGGTGTCCGCACTGCCACTCGTGACCCGCGATGGAGGTGAAGCCGAGGACGCGGGCGCCCCTTTGTCTTCCACGGCTCCCCCGACCGGAGCCCCGTAGCATCTACCTGGTGCAGCCTTCCCCAGGTGAGAAAGAACCTTCCCCCACCCCGTGTGCAGAAGAACTTCCCTCTCCAGGGGGCACGCGGGGCGGGCAGGGGCTGTGTGTGTGGGGGCGGAACCTTCTGCGCTTTGCTCGGCCCCTCCGGTCGCTCCGCGGACTGATGGAGCACGAACTCAGAGATACAGAGTCTCCCAGGCAAGGATCTCTCCTCCCCCCACCCCCGCCCGCCCCTAGCGAGACGTGAAAGAGGGCGGATGGCGGGGCGAGGACTGTCACTCCCTAGCTGCCACGGGAAGTAAATAAACGCTCTGAGCCTTTGGAATTCGCGTAGATTGCGGAGAGCAAGATGTCGTCACGTGCAACAATTATATTTAAAAGCTCCATGCCTGGGTGATTTCTTATTCAGGATGAGAAGAGATGTCATCGAAATTATGCCTTTGACTGTAACGGAAAATGCGAAGTTTTAAATCGTTTCACCGCCCACGTGGAAATTCACCAAACGGCGTTCAGGAAGAACTCGGACCTGAAACTCCGGTGTAGGTGGCTGTGTTCGTGGCACGCGGTCACCGTAGGCAGGCGTGGGACTGCAATGACAGGAAGTTCCAATTTAAAGGACATTAGCGCTTCATTAAAGGACGCTGTTAAAGCAAATTAGTCAGCAAAAGTGAGTCATCCGAAATGACCCAGGTTCCCTTTCGAGTTTTATGTAATTATGACCGAAAAGAGGAGGCGGTCTACACCTGCAAACCTGCCCTGGAGAACTGGATGGCAAGGCGCAGGCCTCCTGCGTCAGCACAGGGCTTCCGGAGAGTCACGGGGGGACACGCCAGACCCTGCAGGTGCTGCCTCAGGCTCCCGACGACCAGGTGGGCGGGGGCGGAGGGGGCGTGAGTGCAGCCCAGAGAACCGTCTGCTGAGACCAGGCCCCCCCCCCCCAGCCCCTCTCAGCAGGGGAACGCGGCCGCCGGATCCGGACTCGCTGCGTCCTGGCACTCCCGTGTCTGGGATGCACATCAGAATGACTTGGCATTTCAGAAGGAGGGGCACAGGACTCACAATCAAGAGAAAGTGTAGCTTAACCAAGAGAAATAAGGGAAAAATCTCTAGCTGCTTTTGACGGGGGACTGAGGAGACGGAAGGAAGAGTCGGGGAACCGCTCCAACAGATCAACCAGAATGGGCCGACCTGCGGGTCTGAGAGGGAGAGAAGCATGAGAACAAACAACAAAGAACTCCAGGGAGCTGCACAGAACGGGCAGAGGAGTCGCATGTGTGTTTCTGGCCTTCCAGAGGAGGCGGAAGGGAGACGGGAGCCACTCCGAAGGGGACTCCTCACTGGGACTGCGCCCCGGCCACCGGGCCACGTCAGAGGCGGGGTGACCTCTGTGTGCCAGTGAGTTTGGGGTGGCGGAGAGGAGGGAGGGGGGGACAGTCCCCGCCGTCACCCAGCAGGGACTGAATCAGAGAACACGGCATCACCTCTCCTCTGTAAGATGAAAATACCACCGCACTTAGAGAGGTTATTGGATTATATGAGATAGTGCGTCTAAGGTTTTATTTAGCACAGTGCCTGGCATGTATGGAGTTGGTATGTCTTCTGTCGTACATTTCCCTTTTATTTTTCCAACCTGCTATTATAAAAGTGTTTATTATTATTATTCATTATCTAATGGAAAAGATGACAAATACCTAGAAAAAAACATATAAATCTACTGATCGCTTTATTTCCTTCAGTATGGGAGTATACACATCTTAATCAGCTTGGCAATGGCCCACAACCTTGGGACCAATTGCGAGTATGCGCATTTTTATTTATGACGTGTGAAAACTTCTGCTCTGAGTGTTTCTTTTATTACACACTTAGACTGCGACAGCGGTAGCTTTGGTTGGTGATAACCCTTCTGGAGCGTTTACGCTGCTTCTCGATGCAGGTACGAGAGAACCTGGCCAACAGCAGAGGGGCTTTTCCCGGGCTGACACGAGTGGAATGTTCCCAGTGGAGTGTTTCCCGGGGGGCTGGCTTTGCCTGCGGCCCCGCCGGGCTGCTGGGCACACTGACAGCCCCGGGCCCTCACCAGGCAGGTGTCTGCGCACCGTTCACCGCGCACTGTTCACGTTGGACGCGGCTCAGAGGAATCCTTCGCTAGATTTCGCCCTTAGAATCAGAAGCTTGTCCTTAGCCAGGCCAGTGGAAGCCCCCGGGGGGGGGGGGCTGGGACTACGTGACAGATCCGAGCGGGGTCTCTGACCAGTGAACAGGGACCACTGCTCCGTCCTGTGTTTCCTTTTGTCAAAGACCAGCAGCTGAACACGGAACGCGATGCAGGCGGTGACCTATCGGTTTGTATTAGGGAATCTGAGTTCTTCATAATGCCGACGTGCACTTTCATTTTTGATGGTAGAAGGGTCGGGACAAATGTGACAGTTTGAATGGCTTAAACCATCTCTCCCACCACTAACTGTGGGCGGCTGTCATCTTCCCTCAAAATTCCACGCGGTTCCCCGGTCCGAATGTCAGCGTTACCAACTCATTGGCCACTTCTCTCCCCTTCCCCAGAACTGTTGACAGGCAGGGCGGCTGCGCAAAAAGAAGCGGGGGTGGGGGGCACTGCACACACTGACCTCACCCCGATAAATGCACACACTTGGACTGACCGGGTCTGAGTGTCAAAATTCTGCACCTTTCTTTAGGTTAAAGAAAGAACTACAGCCTAGACCTTCTTATCCTGTGGCAGAGGGGTTTGAGGGTAGTCCTCCGTCCAGGGGGCGCCACCCCCGCCCCTTGGTAAGGGCTCCGGCTCGGGTTTGAGTGCTGTGGAGATGTTTACGAAAACAGATCACCGTGTGCAAAACTGTAACAGAGAGCTATTTGTATTGCCAGATAAAAACCCTCCCCTCCCAGAGCAAAGGGGGAGGGGGACGCGCTAGCTACAGGCATGAGGATAACGAGTGCTTTAACAAAACTCATCTGCAGCACCCAGAGTAGCGGCCGAAGCAGAGGGCGCAGCTGGAAGGTGACAGTGGGTAGAGGTGGGGTGGGAGGAGCTGCACAGTGGAAGAGGTGGCAAGGGGCCCATCAGCCTGTCCAGTCACTGGAAGGAAGAAAACCGTGGAGGTGGCCACCCCACGGGCTCACGAGTTTTGCGCAAACACCCGACACCTGGCTGGTCTGCCGTCTCGGCCCAGAAAAGTCGCCTGGCCTCCCACCTGTGGGGCCTCCTGCCACCCCTTCAGATGCAGACACGGGTTAGAGAAGCGTTGCACTACTCTTGCTCTCCAGTCCCCGGTGAAAATAAACTAAAGATGCTTGTCCTGTGGCTACATACGGGTGTGGGGTTAGTTTTTAAAAAGCCCCAAGGCTTTATGCATATAAAGTTATATGTAATATAAATATAATAAATATATGAATTTTATGTTTTATAAATTAATAACCCTGGGTTTTTTACATGTATATTTATATACAGGGTCTGCAGAAGTCCTGCTTGAGTGTGGCTGGTAGGGTAATAATATGGGTGTGATCATCTGTAGTTCTCATTTGAACGTTTCACGTAAAATGTCATGGGGTATACCTGAGTGTGATATTGTGATGTTACAGAGTCACATGCTTATGATTTTGTAATAAAAAGGGAAAATTGTTATTTGTGCCGGACCTTGTATATATATTTCCCTAGTAAGATACAGAACATTATCAAAATTTCCCTATATTCTTGGGTTTTTCTACAGCAATGCATGAAATATAGTAGGTGCTTAATAAACAAGAGCTATTAGTATTATCTAATGGAACAAAGTCCTTCATATTAGACCTTGTTACTAGGATTTAGAAAGGTTATTATTTTATTGGGTTTACAGACATCGATGTGGTGCTCCCCTTGCTTGTGCATTCACTCGTTTCCTGCGTGTGCCGTGGCTGTGGACAGAACCCCCAACCTCGGGGCACCTGGCGTCGCTCTGGCCCATGGAGCGTCCAGCCTGGCCTGCTTCACACATTGTGGAACCTCTTAATACAACTTCAAAAGGGAATGTCACCTTAAATGACAAATTTTACATGAAGGAGGATGAAGTTCAATCGACTTCCTTAAGGTCAGGGTTTGATGTAAATGGTCCTGTCTCAGCAAAACAATGGGTGATGGAACTGAAAAATAAACCCCGATCTCATTTCACTGCTCCAAGAAGACAAAATTGTTAACTACGACCCCCGAGGTGAAGCGGCGGCAGGACGCGTCACCGGGAGACCCACGGACACCGCATCCCCGTGGAGAGCGGTGCTGGCTGCTGGGGCTGCTGAGAACTGCATCGCCGGCCACAGGAGAGAAACACTGCCGTAGGAGACATCAGAGGATTATAGTAAGCACCACGTTTTCAAGTATATTTTAAGCACCTTCCAAAGGAACCCTGAAGACAGTATCTAGTTTTACTTCTCTTTTATCCAGTGGGCACCCAGTAAAAGCTGGCTAATTAAATAAATACACCGACGCGCTGGCCGCCCGCTGGAAAAGCCTTTTCCCTACGTTCCTCTCCAACTGTAGGGCCCACTGCGCCGGCTGGTAGAGCGGGAAAGGCCGCAGTGGATTCACAGCCAAGCCCCGTTCTCTAGCTGTGCGATCGTGGGGCGGGGGATGCTGCTGAGTTGCATCTCCTACCGTGGAAGAGCCGGGAATGCGTTTAGGGTTCAGGGAAAATGCAGTCCGATAAGGTCATGCTCACTGCTCGGATTTAAACCGCCCTAAGCTGAAACTGGCCTTGCGAGCTGGTTTGGGTAGGAAGTCTATCCTTACCATTCTAAGGCCATTATTTCAAAATCCCATGGACTTTTACCTTCCTAAACACAGTTCTGATTTCTTAACAGAGGCCCCTAAGCCTACAAGGTATGGACCCCCCGTGGGCCACCGCGGCCGTCTCCGGGACAGCGTCACCTTCCGAGCTGGGTCTGGGTTTCCCAAGCCCAGGCTCGGCCCCGAGGCCCGCGGCTGTGCGGCACAGGGCGCCCAGGGGCCGCCTTTCCTTCCTCCCATCTACCCTGCGCCGTTAACGTTCACGAACAGTCCACGCAGGAACGTTTTAAACACCCACTGCGTTTTCAGCTTTTGCTGCCCAGCTGAACCACCCCATTGAGCTCCTCCGCTCCAGAACTCGGCCCGTGGCTCCCTTTGGACTGTGACGGCAAGGACCCCAATTTGCTGTCACGGGCGAGACTTCTCTGAAGCTGGAGGTGCGCACGCGCCTGGCTCAGCAGAAAGATCTCGATCCCGAACATGTGAGGGCCCCCAAAGCGCCCACATCCCTCGGGCAGCGTCCAGGCCAAGGGCAGCGGCCGGGTGCCCGGCAGGCCTCCGCGGCCCTCGCCCCCCCGCGAGCGCGTCCGCTTCTCCGGCATTGCCCTCGGGATTCTCTACGGAGAGCGGGCGAAGGGATGGAGTGATGAGGGACGGGCGGCGACGGTGGGACGGCCGGGAGGAACTCGCTCGGGGACCCTCTGTAAACCTCCGGTAGCCCTGCCGGGTCGGACACCGCCAGCCCTGAAGCCCGACGCCTATTCCCCCTTCTTTAAATTGATTCCCTCGGCCTTCCGTTTTCCTCTCGGGGAGGGGTGGGACTTCCGGCTTCGTGTCCGAGGCACTTCCGGCAAGTGCTGATGTACCGAAAACAAGACGGCACCCGGGCCCGTTGGCCATTCGGGGAAAAATAAAAGGGAACTGGAGGTGGGTTTTACTAAACCAGTCCCGAGGTCTGTTCTTTTGGTTTTAGTGTCTCGCGAGCGGTCCACAACGGAGACAACCTGGGAGCTGCCGGAAGTCGCTCAAAGGAAAGACGGGAAGTCCCGCCCCTTCCTCCCAGAGGGAAGACGGTGAGCCGGAGGAGTCAGTCGTAGGGGCTAGCAGGGGCGATCCTGTCGGCAAACAGGTAAGTTACTGTCTGGCCGGGGCGGGGGGTTTGGAGGCGGGGACCGTCCAGCGTCAGCGCGGGGCCTGGGGGCGGTGGCTTGAGGGCCGGGGCGCCCGCGGCTGGACGCCGGGAGCCCCGCCAGGGCCCTTCGCTCTTCCTCCTCCCCCTTCCCCCCGCCTCCGCCCCTCCCCGCTCGCCGGTCCCTCCCGGCGCCGCCCAGACTCGCCCCTTTCGCGCCCGCCGGTCCTCGCCACCGCCGGCCTCCGCGCCCGCCCTCCCCTGCCAGCTCCGCGCAGGCCGCACGCACCCGCGGGGCTTCGGTTTCCCGGCAGCGACGGGCTGTCAACGCCGCAGCGGCGCCCCACGCGCCCTTGCCCGCGGCCGGGGCGCTTCTTACCGCCCGGTCGCTCCGAGAGTGACACAAATACGCCCCAGCGCGGGGCCGCCCAGGTGTCGGTCGCAGTCTGGGTGGCGGTTTCCTTAGCCGCCGCCCACTCGGTCTCCCTGCCGCACGTACTGTGCCGCCGCCGCCCTTGTCTACTTCCGCGACGGAGGCCGGGTGGGCCGCGGCCTCTCGGGGCTCGCCGCCCCCAGCCTGGAGGGGCAGTGCGGGCTGCCGCGCGCCTCTGTCCCGGCGGTGCTGCCGGTCCCTGCGTGCGCGCGCCACGGCCCCTCCCGCCAGCTGGTCCTGAGCGCCGGCCGCGTTCGGGACTGCAGTCTAGGGGAGCCGGGTGCCTGCGCTGCTGACCCCTGTCGGCTGCGTGCAGCTTGGAACAGCCCGTTTATTCCATTGGGAGCTCTGGGATAGGACATGTTGGCGGGTGGACGTCCATAAACACACGTGGGATTTTTCTGCTTTGTAGGTGATCACAGCCCTACGCAGTGATTGAGGTGTGACTTGACGCCCTTGTCGGCGGGTCCCCTTACTGTGTGCACGTGGTCGACGGTGGGGCGTTATCCCGTCGGAACGCAGTCTCTACAGGGAAGGGCACTCACGTGTGTGGGTTAGAGCACCATTAGAAGAGCTCATCAGACACACACTATGTATTTCAGTTAGCACATCAGCCTTGGAGCGATTGCTGTTCATTTTTTTGCCGAATGAGAACCAGATCAAATAATTTGACCAAAATTAACGCCACGTTTCAAGTCTCAGGTGTCATTCTTTTCAAGTTTTCTCCAAGTGAAGTTACAAAGTCCTGCTGGCACGTCTGAACGTTACTGAGGCAGGGCTCTCTAGTAGTTAGTGTCTTCTGGCGCGCCATGTGAGACAGTTGTGTTTATTGCTGTTTATTGCGGTTAATTGCTACTGATGCCTTTAAAAAAACATTTTCAGATGATTTAAGATTTACAGAAAAGCTGCAAGATTGGACAGAGACTGTCACTGGTACTCAGCACGGTGGCTCCACTTCAACACACACTGGTTCCTGCTTTAAGCCTGCGCCCTTCTAGGTGCAGGGGAGAGGAGCGCCCTGCCCTCCCGGATTGCCAGGGCTGGGTGACGAGACAGGCACAGAAACGACACTGGTGCTGAGCCTGAGACTTTGGGACGCAGACAGCAGTATGCCTGGCCGCTGGGGAAGGGGGCCGAGAGCCTGCTGGAGACCTGTCTGGTTGGGTCAGCCTGAGCAGTGGAGGCCCCTAACCCGTATAAAACACCCTTCTGATGTGACCCCCCCATCTCCTCTGCCATATCACAGGTGGTGAGAACAATCCCAGGTTCTAAATCTATTAATAGGAGATTAAATGAAGCCGTGTTCCTTAGGTAGTGATGGAAATGTCTAGATCCATACATTTTTAAATTCTTAATTTTCACACTTGTCCACTCCTTTCTGTGCTCTGGCCACACATGTTCTTTCTGTGAGGCCAGGAACGGCATTCTGAACGCGGGTCCGGGTGGGGTTCCCACAGCAGAGGGGACGTGTGAGCGAGCACCTTCGTCTCCTGGGCCTGCTGGAAGGAAACACCGTCGCCTGGCTGGCTGGAGAAACAGACGTTTCTTCCTCCTCACGGTTCTGGAGGTGGAGGAGTCCAGGACCAAGGCGCGGGTTTCCGGTCAGGGCTCTCCCTGGCCGGCGCACGACTGCCTCTGGCTGTGTGCTCACGGGGCGGAGAACGAGAGGACTCGGCATCGCCTTCCTCTGTGAGGGTTCTGACCCCGTCTTCGGAGCCAGCCCTCCTGAAGGCCCCACCTGCAGACCCCACCACGCTGGGGCTCGGGCCCCCCACGTGTGCATTTGGAGGGGGACCCTGCGGTCACCGGGGCTTGTGGGCTGGGGCCGAGAGTTTGCCTTTCTGACAGTTCCTGGGTTCCGCTGAAGCAACTGGCTGACACCACACTTTGAGAAATGTGGCCTTATATGATGGTGCCTTCCATATCTTACAAGAAGAGTAAATAAACCTCTGTGGGTTTATGCTGGCTGCACCTTCTTCCTGGCACACAGAGAGAGAATCGGGTTTTCGTCAAACAGCAGTAATGCACCAACAGCAGAGTGCTTAGATGACAAAAGGGGTGGAAGTGGAGTGTTCCTCAGCGTTGTTGTGACCTTTGTGAGGATGACTTCTGGGGATCATTCCGGAGGTCAGACGCATGTCCCCTGTGGAAGGGACATGCTCGCACTGTGAGGGTCCTCAGTCCCACCGACGCAGATGCTGAAAAGGACGTCCGGATCAGTTGCTGGATCGAGTAGCAGTGAAAAATTGCTTCCAGCTTTGTTACTTGGCACGTTTCTGTATTCTGTGTGCTGACGTTATCTTTCCTTATGTATCAGAATCTTACGAGGCCCTAGCACAGGTGCCTGCCCATTGGAGGTGTTAGATGTAGGTTGAATTGGAAAAGAGCAAGGGGGAAAATAAGCTAAGTTATTTATCTGGAGAGACTTCAGTGCCCTAGGGAAGTTACCCTACTCTCTAGATTATCTCAACTGTAGATTTTTATTGAGTAATTACAGTTTATTCTAGCTTAAGCCTTGTTTGTAATTATTGGGATTTTTTTTAGTAGAAATGCTAGAGGAGAAAGTGTATTTTTATGTTAATGAGTGGTATGTTACACCTTTTTATCATTCATCTGAAATTATTTAAAAAAATTTTTACTTTGGCCCTGGCTGGTGTCGCTCAGTTGGTTGGAACATTGTCCCATAGCCAAAAGGCTGTGGGTTCAATTCTCAGTTAGGGCATGTGCCTAGGTTGTGGGTTTGGCCCCCAGTCAAGGTTTGTACTAGAGGCAACCGATTGATGTTTCTTCCTCTCGCTCCCTTTCTTCCTCTCTCCCTAGAAGCAATGAAAAATGCCCTCAGGTGTTGGGAACCACCCTGCCTGGTTTCAGAAGCTGTAACCCCCATGGCTAGGGCGGAGGGAGCTACCTTGGGACTATAAGCCATTAAGGAGACAAAGCTTATCTCCCTGGCAGGGGTGCCGCCTCTTCCCCTTTTACTGCACCCTGCCTGGCCCCCAGTGGTCGGTTAGCCAATGACGGGTAAGATTCCTCAAGGGAGGGATGATCTAAGACAGGCACGATCATGGGGGCCCCGAGGGAAGGACTTGGGGGCCTATAGCAAAAGGGGGTGATGGATCCTCGCCCTTTGGCTTTGACATAGCCTGAGTCCTCATTCTGTCTGCAAGAAGTCTCCTAATCTCTTGGCTGCTTTACTTCCCCCACCTGACTTAAGCCTGAAACAATGCTGGTGGTGGGTGCCGCCCTGTGCTGGAAAGGGCTGGTTCCTAGGGTGATCAGGCCTGAGAAAGAATGCATAAAATTCTGTGAAACCTGCTTTGCTAAGAATATCCTCAATTAAGTGATAAGGGTCCCAGCAGGAAATGAGTTAGTTTCCCAAAGTTTTATAGCCCTTTAGCAAGTAGACCTTAACTCAGAATAAGCCTTTGTAGTTCTTTGTATGTTATCTGTGGTTTGATCCGTTCTGCCGGACAATGGCTGATGAGCTTTACCTGTGTTCCTGTGGAAACTGAACCCAGTAAAAGCCCACTGAGGAACAGGCTCCTGGCCCTTCTCCTGTGGGAGATCGGCCACCTTTCCTCCCCCAGCCAATCATGTCTTGGTAGACTTATTCTCATCTGTGGCAGCCGGTGAGTGGGGGGTCCTTGCGGGCGGAGCCCCACCACACTCAGGTGAGGATTAAAAAGAGATATTAAAAAAAACCCTTTTAAGTGTGAAGTAGTTTTAGAGTTACAGGGAAGTTGCACAAGCAGCCTGGGGAGTTCAGTGCACGCAGCCACGCGCCCAGCCCCTGTGCGAGCCTCTCCCGTGGCCACAGCGCCGTCGCTGTGGCCGGGTGGTGGGCGGAAGGACCCTCAGTCTGCAGGGGCGTTTCGCTGCCGAGTCCCTTCCTGCGGCCAGAGAGCTGGTGCAGCGCCCCGCTGTGCACTTCGTCACCAGGTCTCATTGGTGTCTCCCCGCCTGCGACACTGCCTTTCAGACTTCTCTCCGATGACCTTTCCAGGAGTCCTGCTCGGGGCTTTTGTGGACTCTCCCTCGGTCTGGGCCTGTCTGGACCTCCCCGCAGCTACGTGGAGGCTGAGCATCGTTGGGCAGGCGCACCACGGCGGTGGGGCTGTCCCTGTCTGGGTTGGGCCGGTGCCCGTGTGCCACTGGTGCCTGTTACCCTGGAGCTCGCGGCTGGGGCGGTGTCTGGGCCCGCTCTGTGCTCCAGAGCGACCATTCCTCCCACTGGAGTGAGTCCGCCTCCTAGGTTCACTGGTTTCGGAGCAGACGTTAAAGAAGAAAGGAACATAGAACTTCAGAGTTCCCCGAGCCCGACCCCGACCGCGAGCTGCTCCTTACCTGGGGAGGCTCCCTCATCACTTGTCGGCCCCAGCGTGGCGGGTGGGTCCCGGAGTAGGCGCTGGGAGAACAGTTCTTTGCCTGGGACCTTGGCCCCGTGCCCAGTCAGTGTTGGCTCTGAAGGGGCCGCCGTGGGAGCGGTGGTTGGGCAGCCTGTCTCACGCCTGCCTTCCCCGGCACGGCGCTCCGTGACCGTGACCTCCTCAGACTCTCCCTGGAGCGTTTCCGCAGCAGGTGAGGCCTCGTCAGTGCTCACGAGGCAGTGGCAGGAGGAGCTGCTCACCCACGCGCTAGCCCACGGGCCTGCTGTGTTCTCTTCGTGGGCCACGCTGATGAACTGTGGGGTTACTACACACACACGCGTATGAATTGCCTCTATTTTCAAAATGTTTGTGCCTTTACTGTCCCACCCGAGTAAATTGGAAGATACTCCTCCAGTCTCTCTCCCGCCCAGAACTCGTAGGCTCCTTCGAGGCAGGAAGCAGGTGTCTCCTTGTTCACCAGTGACTGGCTGGTACCTGCACACACCAGGCACTCAGCACACGTGTGTGAACACGTGCACATCGTGTGTTATGTGTGCACTTTGCTAGCTGCTTTTGTGCGTTCCCTGGGCATCGTGCACATCCTCACACGGGGGCCCCGCAGTGCTGCCTGCGGGCGCCCCGGGGGTCCCTCTGCAGGGCCGGCCGCCGGCCGGTCCGCACCCTTTCCGGGAGAAGGAGCGCCTCAGCGAGTATCCTGGGGTGCGTTGTGTCCAGTCGCTTCCTGAGGACGGCCACGGCGGCGAGCCCCTGGCGGCTCCGAGCACACGCGTGGTGGGGCCTCGGACGCAGGCCCTGCAGGGCCACGGGGTCAGAAAGGCTCCTCCGTGCCTTCGCGGCCGCGCCGGTGCAGCGGGGGGCGCCCGTCCCCACGCTCCTTCAACGCCTCGCTGTTTCTGGGAATGAGACCAAGTCTCGGGTGTGCCTTCTTTTGGATGTTCCTACGCACTCCAGGAGGGCAGTGGACTGGGGATCCTAGTCTGACTAATTTTCCAATAACCTGCCACATTTCCACGTTGAAAATTTCCAGTTTTTTTGTTTGCCTCAGAGAACAGAGCAGAGCAAAGCTCAGTGAACTGAACGTCGACTCAGTGTTTACTTGGGGCACTGTTCGTTTCCTCCTCGAGTCACAGCTGGTGGTGTCTGTCTGTGGCCCCAAACACACAGGGAGCCTTTTGATGGTGGGGCACGTTTCTGATTCACATCCTCACAGGGGTCAACGGTTGAAGGCTCCAGCGCGACAGGCAAAACGATGACAGTTCGGGGAGACTGAGTAGGACGGAGGCGGCGTGGCCGATGGAAGGGGAGGTCTTTAAACACCTCTGGGCAGGGGGCAGCAGCCGGAAAGGAAGAGAGCGGCGTGTCATCGGCGTCCATGAGCGCCGACTGTGCTCACGGGACGAGGCCAGGGCCGCGGGCAGACGGTCACGGGTGAGAACCGGGCGCTTCCGGTGCTCACCGCTGACGGCAGAGAAGTGTCCGGAAGGGCGAGCGCCAGCCCGTCAACGGGAACAACGCAAGTGGGCAAATGGCCCGGACCGGCGTCCCGCCCAACAGGACACCCGGGTGCCCAGGTTCTCGGGCGGTCAGTTACCAGGGAAGGGCAGCCTGGGGCCAGGACGGCGGCTGGTGGCACACACGCTGGCTGGCAACAGTGGGGAAGTCTGCTGGGGGTCGGAAACAGCTGGAATGCCCCCGCAGCAGGCGGGGGTGTGAATTGGTGCAGTAGCTTTGGAAGTAACTAGTCCAGCTCGAGACGCACGTGCCGTTTGACCCAGTGATTCCCCCTCCCCCCAAGTCTGTATCTTAGAGCAGTGCTTCTAAAGCCCGTTCCCAGCATCTCCAGGGAGCTTGTTAGAAATGTAGATTCTAGAGTCCCACCCCAGACCAGCTAAATGGGAAGCTTGGGGAACGAAGGGTCAGCTTCCACCCAGCAAGCTGTCCAGGTGACTCGGTGCCGAAACTGGCCAACCGCCGCCCTGAGGAAGTTCTGGTGCCGCCCGAGTGTGGTGCTGCCCGAGTGCGCGCTCGGAGCGGCCCGTCTGGGAGCGGAGGCCCTGGGAGCAGGGTGGCCCCGGTGGGTGTTGTGCGCCCGTGGTTACCTGTGCTGCGGCTGTGCGACTGGGTGGGTCGAGCTGCAGGCAGCGCTGAGGGGTGTGGCGGGGACATTGTCTGTTGTCAGGGGGAAAGCTTGTCCCAGAAGATCGCATGCGGTCGGTCCTTTTCCATTTGTTTGTTTAAAGTTTAGGGAAATGCAAAACAGAATTGCGGATTGTTTGGAACACAGATGTGGAATAAAGAAAACGGGCACGTTACAAACCAAAGTCAGGTGAGTGGGCAGCCCTGGGAGAGGAGGGAAGGTGACACGCCCCCAAGGGGGACTTTGAGGGTACGGACTTACTCCACGGAACTGTGATCCACAGTCAGGTTTGCCCTATTATGCAGTGCCTTGCACGTGTTACAGCTGATTTTTTAAATCTACCCAACGTTTAAAAAACTGGAGGAAAAGCGATTCCACAGAAACCTCATGGGATTGTCTGATCGTAAATTCCCCACCGGCCAGGTCAGGGTGGGTGGGCACGCCTCGGGCACTGCAGCTTCTTTACTCAAGGTTCCCCTTCGCCTTGAGCAGCTTCTGTGCGTCAGGTGAGCACACCTGGAATTGCCTGGGGAACCCCCGGAGGGCGTGGCCACCCCCCCCCCCCCCAAGAGAGCAGATAATCCTTCTGCTTCGCTTTTCTCCCACCTCCACGTAATCTTCCTTAATTTCGGGTGCATAAAAGACATGGCCGACTGTCACTCTCCAGAGCATCTGAGGTCTTGCTTTGAGGCCATTGTCCTCGGTTTGGCTCAGAGAAACATTTTTTTAAGCCATCATGGTAGGGCAGTCACTGCTGGAAGCTTAGCACGTGTAGGAAAATAGTAACGTGGGTCCGGAAGTTCTCAGTCAAATTGCATGTCTGGTGGGGCCAAACAGCACCCCCATTTTTGTTTGCATTCAGAGAGCTGAGGTTGTCTGACCGTGAGAACCGTCGCGCATCTAACTGTGTGCCTGCCTCGGACTTTGCAGTGAAGTCAGCGCCTGCCCCAGCAGCCGGCAGGCGTCCCTGCAGAGCGGGGGTGTCTGCCTGCCTTTCGGGTGCAGGGAGCGCCCGTCCCAGGCCCCTCACGGGCAGCTGGGGGACCAGGTCTCCAGAAGCAGACTGCGGGCGTGTCCGCTCGTCCAGTTTCAGCT